GGACTATTGTTTAAAGGTCCCTCCCCCCGTCCGTAGCTCATGTCAGGCCCTCTTGCGGGCAAAGAAGCTAAATGTCATTCAAGCATCAAATACAAAAGAGGACTTAGAGTATACTCACACAAAAAGGGAAGCAGGTAATCCGATAGTCAAAGAAATTGTAGACGTCATGGCAAACATGCAGCAGCTACAGACAGCGGGAATCAGAATGCAGCTGAATGGATCAAAGCTGTAGACAACGAGAACTAAAAAAATATCATGCATACAGGAAATAAGAAGATGCTGCAATGGCTGAGGAAACGGTAAGCATAACCCTTAAACCCAAAACCCTTAACCTTAACCACTCAGACGAGCAGCTGTCGCCGACGTAGTAGACGCTTCCAAGGGCAAAGAAAGCTACCTACCCCGCGTCTCAAGGAAAGGTTTAGGGTTCAGGATTTAGGGTTTAGGGTTTAGGGTTAAGGGTTTCTTGATATGAGCCGTAGTCTAAACTCCTAGCATCCCCCTTGACAAGCCCTATGATACTCCCCTGTATGATCCACTCTGCAACCCCCTTTGAAGGACTGTAGACTATAGCTCAAATAGGGTTTAGGGATAACCCTTATATGAGCCCTGTATCCTATATCTATACATGTGTATATATATACACATATATATATATATGCTCCCCATGTAATCCTATGCATCCTCCCTCTGTAGGCCCCTCTTACAAATTGCAGGAAGCCATGCAAACAGACAGGGGCCCTTACAGCCGAGTCTAGGTTTTCGGATTTAAGGTGTTGAGATCTTGGGTGGGTTTAGGGTTGAGGTGCGTTGGGTTTTACGGTGAAAGAAATGAGGCCCCCACTAGGGTTGAGGGTTTAGGGCTTAGGGGCGGACACACGGGCTGCATCATAGGACTGAGCTGGCGTTGCAGGGCTGATCAGGGCGTCTACAAGGCGTGCAAGATCACAGCTAACAAGACGTCTCCCCTGGGAAGTGCAAACTCCCAGCTTGAATCCCTTTGTTTCTTGTAGCGATGTCATGTTCCAAAGTCAAGGTCATCCTTGTCCTCGCTTCCCCAAAGGAGCCTAAAGCAAAGACTGTGAGGAGCAACAACCCTTAATCCTCCCAAAATTGAATGCCCTGAACAGTACCACCATGAATCCCCTACATCCGACAAAGACTGCGCCAAGCTGCAATAGGCATCCTCAGCTGGTGCAGACTTCTTGCTGTTTGGATATGGAGAACATGAGTCTTAGCTCATTCCTTCCTACTGCAACTGTTACCACAATTGGAAATGAGATAGCCCCCTAATGAGGCTCCTTTAAGGACAGTCACTGGGAGGGGGAATACGCCAACATGAATTTCAGAAATGCCCATGCAGCCGGTGTCACTCTTTCTTGGGGCCCTCTGCGCAACTACATCCCGTCGTTATCTTTCCAGCGTTCGGGCCCGCCCCGCTGGGCGGTTTTGACCTAGCCACACTTGTTGGCTCAGATGGAAACATCAGTCGTGAAGAGGAACTGCTCTCCACAGGACCAGTTTTGAGAAGAGTCAGCAAATGCTTCTGCAGTGGCAAACACGTATGGATGCGAAATGGGCTGGCGCAGGCCAAATCAGGCCACTTTGCGAAGGTTACTTGGTACAGCGCCGTAGGTTCGGGTTCTTTGCGTAAGCGCATGGGATGTCAGAAAGCATTGCAGGGGCATGAGGAAATCCACTCTACTGTAGGCGAAAGGTTGCCGCCCCTACAGGGAAAGGACCTGTTCATGGATGGACTGATCGGAGACATGAAGCATTGTAGGACAGCCAAGTGATCAACTTTCAACCTTCCGAATCCTGGCATGCTCCGTATACAGCTGTGTGTCAAAGTTAGGGTCAGCCCCATATTAGCGGGATCCTCATATAGAACTGGAAGTATGCATCCTTATTAAAAACAAAGTATGACCTAAAATTTGCATTCTAGAAACAACCCACGCAATGTACAAGGCTATATTTAATGATAGCATCCGTAAACAGAACGAAGCAAGCCCAACACGCAACCAAGAGTCGACATCACCCACAAGAAGGAATCATGTTCCAGGTCCTGTGCCGAACGGTTGGGCAATGTAGTAGTATAATACAAAAGTAATGTAGAATTGTAGTAGTATAGTAATATAGTATATCATAGTATACTAGAATAGTAATTTAGGAAGATAGTAACAGAATGGTATGAAAAAAATCAGGATTCAGAGTAGATACGACCGGCTCCGAATGAGAACCTCCCTTTTGGGCGTTCTACGATTTAAGGTTGGCATCTCTAGGGTCTCGACGGTGCATACAAGTTGAACCGTCATGAGTATGCTTCATGGTTTCGGATGTAGTTGGAAAATTCGAATATAGTAGTTTCCATTTTCTTTTCCATTATCCCCATATACCCCAAGATAACCCCAATATAACCCCAAGAGTTCTGGTTTGGGCTTGGGGGCTTCGAGCTAACAGGGCTTAAGGCTCAGCACTCCTGGGCCTCTGAAAGTCTAGGGCAAGGGCCCAGCTCCAGAGTTACGGGTTTATATGGAATATTAGGGGTTATATAGGGGTTATATTGGGATAATGGAAAAGAAAATGGAAACTACTATTTAAGGTTTGGGGTTTAGGGTTGGGGGGGTATAGTCCGCCTTAAGTAGATAGAATATGGCTTTGGGTATACTATAAAAAGATCCCGATATACCCCATATTCTATCTACTTAAGGGGGACTATAGGGTTCAGAGAACCTGAAACCCTTCGACAGACAACTGTTCTGCAAGTGAGTTCTCAACCTGAGTCCTCGCAACTGCACACTCTGCAAAGCCACGCAAGAGAATAAACTGGGTTGCTGTCAAGGCACTCAGTTTAAGTTACTAGATTGAGCAATGAAGCAAGGGTCAGCACAGTACATAGATCAAAGAGGGATATATGATGGGAAAGCAACATGGAAACCCTACAGTATCTGGAGTTGTAGGGGAAAGGACATTTAGGGTTGAGGTTTTAGGGCAAAAGTTTAGGATTGAGGGAACGATAAGCCCCACGTCCAAAAACTTCTAATGCTGCCAGCCATCAAGCCAAGCAAAAACACCTCAACCCAAACCGCAACAGGGCATTTGTGAAGCGTAGGCACTCACAAGATAAGCCCAAAACATGGCAAGCCACTATGGTGAAGACAGCCAAACCAAAACAAGCAAAAGATATGTGTGTGTATATATATACACATAGCAGAATGAGAACTACAATGATCATCATAATAAACTACAGACCCTGAATCTGAAGCACCGAAAACCCCGCTCCCTCCTGGATGCTGCTGAAGAAGCCCATTGAAGTAGCTCCTCCAAAAAGAAAGCTTGCTGCAGATTAGTAAGGAATACGCGAATATAGGATATCGGGAGTATACAGCGACTCAATTCCCATATTCCCTGCTAAGAACCAGAAAGTTACTGCTCAAAAGTTTTTGTAGGTTGGGTTGTAGACCTGAACCTGAGATTCTTAGGGCAGGGGAGAGGGGCTGAGACTCAAAACACGAAAACCTGATTTTGGCGTCGGGTTTGCAGGGGGGGCTGCGCTATGTGGTAAAGGTTCAGTCCATGAATTTAGGTTTGGGCTCAAATCCCAACGTTACTATCATGACTACTGTTATTCTCACTATTGTTCTCAAAGGGGTTATATAGAGGATGATCTAAAGAACTACTAAAGGGGTTATTCACAGATCGGAAACTTTTTATCTGAGTGCGACGATTTGCTCCTTTTGCGGATTGCTGTTGTTGCCAGCCTTCTTTGCAATCGCTTGCAGGCGTTCGTTGGTCCCGAAGTCACACGAAACCCGTAAGCCCTCGACCCTAAACTCTAAACTCTACGGCGTGGAATCGAGATTCTGGCTTGTGTATGCTTCAAATTTTGGCGTCCGGATTTTGCAGAAGCCCTTTTGCTTTTACGCATTACACTTTGTATTCACCTGGGCTAGAAGGCTCAGGTTTAGGATTTTAGTGTTGTGGCGCACGGTTTAGAATTTCAACGTAAGGTTTCGGGTTGAAGGTTTGGGGGTTTAAGATGGTTTAAGGTTTGGGGCTTAGGGTCAGGGTTGAGAGACCTTACCCTAAGTTGGGAAAATTATGGAGAAGCTTTGGGACCTGGAATGAATGCTGAACCGGTTTAGGGCAAAGACTATACGTAATCCTTATTATAGGGACCCCCAAAACGGTACCCCAAATTTTGGGAAACTGCCACGTAATCCTTAGGGATGAGGGGCCCAAGATGCTTTCAGTTGGGTCTAGGGTTTATGGTTTAGGATTTAAGGTTACGGTTTAGGGTTTAGGATATAGGGTTTAGGTAGTCTAACCCCTTCCCCTCCCCTCCCCCCAATAGAAGACCCCGGCACCTCCCTGATAACAAACACTTCCACGAATTTACAGTGGTAATGTACTATATTGGGGGGCGGTTCGTTATCAAGGGGGCGGGTGGAAAAGTCTTACAGTATTACTGTTATTGTTTCTACTATTATTATCATTATTATTGTTAGTAATATTAATACTATTGTTATTAGGAAGCCAGTAGGGCATGGGAACTGTAAGATATTCAATACTATATTTTTCACCATTCGTACCGAAGGCCTGTGACGATGCCCAGCATCACGGCCCAACACTTCCTTGGCGCGGCAAGGCGTGGGTCTGAGGACCTGCTGATGCTTTTACTGCGCTCAGCTGAGCTTCACATCCACACTTCCCATCACTGTTGCAGTAGAGGTAAGTAACAATACTCACACTAGCAGCTAGCAGTACAAGGCCTCAGGGTGAAAAAAATCCCGAACTTCTTTCGCAAGAGGAACAGTAGTAGTGATAGTAATAGCAGCAACGATACTTGCAGTGGATTAACCATCACAGGACCCAACTCTCATTTTCACGTGTTCGAGCGAGCTTGCGGTGATGTGATGAGGAAATTTAGCGTCGTGTCTTAGACATGCAACCTCATCGAAAATCCGCTACCAAATCTGCTTGGTGGCCTGGGTTTCAATTTAATTTTCAGTACCAGGATTACTCGGCACTTGCCACGCCTTCGTGGCAAAGGCATCTACGACGGTCCGTTCTGTTTGCTCTGGTTGCTCCCGTTCAGTCAGGCGAGCACCATCTTGATCGCTCGCTCCGCTCGCTCCGATGCACTCAACATCCGGGGACACACTCTGCACGCTCTGATCATGGTCTGGAGGATTGCCCCAGGCGGAAAACCCAATCAGAGTGCGAGCATCGTAGAGCCTCGCCGTGTCGCTAAACGGGTAAGCCCGGACGAAAACCAATGTGAAGACACTGAAGACAATTGACAGGTATCCACCCAGGCTGCTAATAAGTTCCAGCATCTGTGGCATGGCTCCTTGACTCGTTGTCATAGTGACGAATGGCTCTGCAATGTGCAGTTTCAACTGTGTTGCAAGACCTGACGAACCTGCAGGTGGCTCTGGGTCCCAGACGGAGCATAGCTCCCCAAGTTCTCCCATGTTGTTTCCACGCAGTTCTGATAGGGCCACCAGGTTGGCATCAACTTCAGAAGGCTGCCTGCTCTTATCATGGGGCCAGCCAACTGTGTAAACGTCACGTGATTCCGTGCTGAATAGGCCTGCAGATCCCTCCTTCCGCTTGGAAAGCTGCTGAGTGAGGTAACTACCTGAGAGCTGATAGAACATTTCTGTCCACTGATTTTGGCTCCACAGAAAGAACTCCACGGCTGCACCAACATTGGCAATCACGCACACCTCTGCCCACACGTTTGCTTCTGGCACACGCCAGCCTGTCATGTCTACAACAGCGCAGGTGTGGTTCATCTGACTCCTCTCCAGCCTGGTTCACATAGGAAACCTGTGCTTTGTGCTGATATGCCAGTAAACTTCCATCTGCCTTCAACCTTCGGAAGCCATAACCTGCCAAGTGAATGGAACTGAGGTCCAGAGAACAAACCTTTCATTTGCCCGCGCCGACCCAGTGTTCCCTTGTAATGGTCAAGGGTGGGGTGTCTCCCTGAGTGGCTATGCCCACGATACGATACGTCGCAAAGAGGAGGAGGCTGCTAAATAGGAGACATTCCAGCAAACACGCCCTGCGCCTGAAACGTGGAGCGACAGAGTAATAATCAATTGGTAAAAAGGCGCTGATGTTTGCCTCCCACCCTGTCTCCCTGGGCCTCATTGCCATCTTGCACGATCATGAGCAACTGATTCGAGCAAACTCTGCGTGACAGACTCAGCAACTTGCCTGAGATCCAGAAGTGTCCTGAGAATCTGACTCATTAAACGACAGCAAACCCTAGACCAAAGGTCAGGACATGCATGCCTCTACATAGACTTGGGCCCACGCAAGTTAAGCACCATCTCAACAATGTCGGTCGAACCCCTCTGTCCTCCACAGGGTTTAGGGTTGAGGGCTTGGGGGGATCAATATTTGTGTTGCCGGGGTGGTCGTATACTATGAAGTCCCCACGAGTAGGGTGGAACATGTAGGACCAATGTGCGGACTAGCAGGAAGTTCTAGACGTGGATCATGTTGGCTTGGGATGTCTTGTGGGAAATTCCTTCAACGATGGGAGGGTGTTGGGCAATTTGGGGCTCAAAGCTTCAAGGTGAATTACTGAACATACGTCGGAGTTTGGTGCCTCAATCGTTCCGATTTGCATGTTACCTGGTCCGGTCTTCCTGCGGTAGAACCGCGGCCCCAGCCAAACCATCAACTCCACTTCCAAAGCCATACATGCTTGCATGAGTCCTGACAATGCACTCAAGGTCTACGGTTAAGGACTGACGGTCTAGGATTTAAGCTTTGGGCATTTGGTAGTTTCCCAAAAGAGGGGGACCCCAATACAGACCCCGAAATACTATACTCCTTTTTACTGCGACCCCTAAACAGTACCCCCCATTTTTGGGAAACCCCATTTCTAGTCATACTCTAATATACTATAATAAAATATAATATACTATAATATACTACAACACATTATATAATGCATTAATCTTCAAGTCTAGGGCACACAAACCGCTCCGAGCCTGCATGTTTGAAAAGGCCACAGACCCAGAACAGGACCAGCTGAAGAGTCAAGTACCAGCCTCGGGCTTAGGGCTTAGGATTTATGTTTAAGATTCAAATTTAGGGTTGAGGGTTTAGGGTTTGGGATTTAGGGTCTAGGGTTTAGGATTTCGGGTTTAGGGTCCAGAGTTGAGGGTATAATACAGGGAAAATATTGGGTTATATGGGATTGATATGGGGTTATATAGGGATGATGGAAAATAAAATGGAAACTACTATTTAGGGTTCAGGGCACCAGCCTCGGGTCGCAAAGTTGCATTCATAAAAGACACAGTAAAGGGGGTCAGGTCTGTTGGATACCCTTGATTCTTACAACCTATTGATGGGCTCAAACCAAAACGTCCGGGCAACGCCCACAACGCGATTTCTGGTATTGTCCCTGTCAATGCTGCTCTGGTGAAAGAATTCAGCCTTAATGCTGACAAGGGGTCACTTAATGAAAGAACAGACAACTATCCTGGGAGTAAATTTCAGAGTGCATTCTTGTGCTGCTGTGCTGAGAAGACTGCCTAGCCACAAAGCAAGGGACATCGGAGTAGAACTTGACCGACAATCAGTTTGGCAATGTCTCACCAAGGTCCCTGACACCATCCAGAACCAGGCTACCTGCCGACTACAGGCAGCCCCGTCCGTGGTAATGCTAGTGTAGCTCGTGCTGTAGTTGGAGCTATTTTACCAAGGTTCTGACGTTGCGACGTGTCGCGATCAGAGATTCTAGGGTTCATGCCGCCGCTTCTGCACAACGCGATCATCCGCAGCCAGAACTATTTACCTACATCCCGGACCAACAGCCATCAAGCACTTACGCGGCCACCTTTGTCCCTGAACAAATGCCGCCCCCAATTCAATGCCCCGAAAAGCTCCAGATCCACTCTCAGAACAATCGGGTTGCTGCTAACCTAAATCAAGTTACCATCTTATAGGTGTATGGTGAATAATCAGCTTTCTTTATCATAGTGACTTAATTTAAGCTGCTTAACAACAAAACCCAAGCAAATCTATGAAGAGATTTCTCAAAATAGGCTGGCGACAGATGTGGATGTGCAGGGAGAGCCCCCCTCTAAACCCTAACCGTCTTGAGAAGCTCACACCTCGGTTTGAAAGACCAGGTCTAGACCTGGTCCCCATAAGCCCAATCCTGATTTTTTTGCCCTAAACACTGAACACCTAAAAGCCTAGAAACCTAAACCCTGAAACCCCCGACCTCTCCAAGTTATCTATACAGGGGCAGGGGGTTAGGGCTTAGGGTTTAAGGTTTAGGGTACTTTAAACCCTGAACCCAAAATGAGGAACACTGAGGCGGAGGCCCAGGGTCAGTAGACCTGGGCGTTGGGGCTTCCATGGAGAATCACATGCTTCCCCTAATCTGAGACCCCCCCCCACGCCTAATATTAAATACTCTCATCATTTGGTATACTAAAATATTTTGGGAATGTTTAATATTAGGGGGGGGCTTAACATGGAAGATTAAATGGCAACTGTGTTCATATAGGGGTTGTTGATATGAGTGGAGGCTTTGGGGGATTGAAGTTTTGGGGCTTTGGATTAAGGGTTTTATGCTTTTACAGCATTTAGAGCTTTAAGAGCTTTAGGGCTTTCGGGTTTTTTTTGGTGTTTGGGACTTTGGGGTTCGAGGGTTTACGGATTTAGGGTTTCGGGTTTGGCATTCAGTGCTTTCAGGCTGAGAACAAGTACTCGAAGGTATATAGAGCCTTTGCAACGGCTGGTAATATGGGAGCCCTGAACCCTAAGCCCCTAAGCCCTTCCACAAATTTGAGGACCTCGTTTTGCCGCAACGTAGAAATCCAAAGCCGGCCCAGTCCAGCACTCATCTTCAGGTTGCAGTTATATCCCCATTAGAAGGATGATACTACTTTGCGGGCTCTATAATATTGGGGTCCCTGCTCTATGGACACCCATACATACCTCCCTACATACATATATACGTACATACCTACCTACATGCATGCATGCATGCATGCATGCATGCATACATACCTACCTACCTACAGGCATACGTACATACCTACATACCTACATACCTACATACCTACAGACCTACATACCTACCTACATACATACATCCATCCATCCATACATACATACATGACATGACATGACATGACATGACATACATACACATCTACATCTTTCTGACCGCTCTCCTTGCTGCTATGCCTTTTCGGCTGCTCTTGGGAGTGTTTAGGGTTTATATTTAGGGTTCAGGCTTTAGGGTGGGAGCTTTTGGCGCAAGGGCCTCGAGAAGCATGCGGTTCCTCATGTGCTGCTCTTGGGAGTGTGTAGAGATTATGTTTAGGGTTTAGGGTGAGAGCTTTTGGCGCAAGGGCTTCGAGAGGCACGCGGTTCCTCATGCGAGGCTGGCTCAAAGGTCTGCCGCGAGGGTTTAGCAATTTTCTGATTTAGATGTTCCTGGTGAGGAAACAGACCTAAGCTGTCGGGTCTTGTATGCTCGGGTAAGAGGGTAGGAACACGGAAGTTGCAGATCCCCGAAAACCGGACAAGATGCGCATAAGTGGGAAAAGTTGATTCTTGTCCCTTGACTGAAAATCAGAATCATACTGAGCATCACAACATTGCGGGCCTGCCAAGAACTGATTTCGCCGGATTCGGGCATGCGAACTTGATGAGTTGCGTGCAACCAAACCAAGGGAAAAAAGTTTCCAATCCTAACCTGAAATGCTGAATCATGAAACTAAAGCTGCAAGCCCCTGAAAGCCAGAACCGCTAAGACCGGAAGCACACAAAGCCCCCAAGCACAGCCTATTACTACTATTATTATTATTCGTATTACTACTATTACAATATTTTGATTGTTACTTCTAGCATTATTATCACTAGTATTGCCAGCCCTGACGCCAAGACGCCGTTGGCCGCGATCTTGCCTCAGGCTGGTTCTTTGCTACACGGACCGCTACCCTGCTTCAGATTTGGCACCCCTTCTAAAATAGCAATAACTGCTATAATAGTTACTAAAATCCTATGTTTAGTGATTGAGTGTTTAGGAAGTGTAGATGATGGATTCTTTTTGGTGGCTTCTTTTGAGGGCTGTCTTTTGAGGGTATGAAGGGGGCATGCGGGCCTACCTTGACTTGGTAGTTTCCCTAAATAGGGGGACCCCACAATAGACCCAAAAATACTAGACCTTATTATGGGCACCCCAAAAACGGCACTCACAATTTTGGGAGACCCCCTTTTACAAGCACTACGCCTTATCCCGAGGCTCTGTGGGATCCCCCAATCATGAAACCCGAGACGCCCCTAGGAACACACGGGCAGCCCTGGAAACACCAAAGCCCGAGACCCTAAACCCAAAAACCAAACCATTACCTACAGGCACCCAACCTAATCCCTAATCTCTAAACCCTAAACCCTAAATGTTGTCGAAAGGGTTTAGGGTGAAGGCAACCCCTGCTCCACCTGGATACCAAGTCTCGTGGAAGGGAGGTCTAGCTTAGATACAGCTAAAGGAACTTCCATGAATCGCTGTCCCTCTTCACGCACCCATTGAAGTACGGATCTCAGGGTCCATGTCATCTTGGTCTGTCGACATCCATAGTGCAAGGTTTTAGTGCACTACAGACCCTACATCCTAAGCAGTGGATATAAAGTACGTATGGCCATGCAAGAGCTTTGAAACGTCTCAATGCTTGCAGGCAAGGAACACATGGCACTGGCATCGGCCGGTAGAACCTTCGGTAAGTGGGTTTTAATGAGTCGAAGTCATGAA